GAGGGTATACCCTCTAACATTCGCAGTAATTTATTTGTGTGATCTGGTATTATATTGCCTCTTAATTTGTACTTCTAATCACCTTTGTACTGCAATAGTGATACCTTCGTATTGAATTGTACTGATTTGTGAACTAAGTCATCTCGAAAGAACAAGATAAAGTACACAAACAATGTATACCCCTTTTATGTGAGCATAATTTATAAACTTTGAACTCTTAACGCCAACAGACAACACAGTGGTAAACGTAATTCACCTTTATGTGTAATTACAGTTAATAAACAATGAATCATCTCCTCGTAAGACAGGTAACAACTGCCAAGTCAGCAGAAAATGGCTTCCAGTTGCAGTTGATAAAACATTAAATATATTCCGGCCACAAAAATTGAAAGACACGTAAAATACAACCAATCTGTCTGCATGATCCGAATTCCACCAACTGTTCATATAACATGTTTTATCATATACTAGTATTTAAGTGTCAAAGGCTGAGATTTCTGAATTTGAGAAATATCACTTTTCTGCAGCTACTTCATGGCTCAACAAGGCTTGATGCCAAGTATCTTGTTACACAGCACGTTAAATGACATTGTGAACGCATGCAGTTCACCCATGCATTTAGTCAACGAGCCTTGGTATCGCATGGCCGCCAGTTGATCGTCGAGTGCACTGGCACTAAGTGACTATTCGTCCCTATATTGTAGCTCCTGAAAGGCATTTAGAAGTTGGACAAGCATGAATTAGCTCAGAAACGTCGTATAAAGAATAAAAGGAAGTTGTTATTTATAAGAAGTACTATGTGTTCGTCCCTGCGTTGTGTTAACGCATGAAGATCCGGTTTGGAATTGATTTTCAGCAACCAATGCTTGTCGTAAGAGGCAATTAATGGGATCGGGTGGTCAGGCTCGCTGACATGGTTGACACATTTCATAGTATCCGAATTGCGGAAATTGATGCTCCTGCTGTTGATCACTAGACTGTTTGGTCCAGATTCGATTATTTACAAACCGTCGTCATATAGCTGTAATATTGCTGAGTACAGCCAACCAGCTAGCCAACCAATCCTGTGTTGTGTTGAGCCCACAATTAACATTAATTCATTCGATTACCAACATTTATGATCACCAACACTGTAAATATATGATTTCAGAAATAATAAATACAAGTATATCCAAAGTTTTCCAAGAACGGAATTCCGACACACATCATTATTAAGACAGGACTTTGTACTATTCATTACTACCCTAAAATCACGAAAATAGAAGCAACGAAACCCTTTCCACATCCAAAAGAAATCTCTGCTAAAAGTAGAGTCGATTGTACAGTTCTGACTAAATCATGAGTATGTGTAAGTTTTAGTGGTACGATGCTGTTTGTGAACAATCGATTCTCGACCAGACAATCCAGTGATTGTCACCATGTGATACGATGATAGAGCATGTGTTTATGAATCAATGTCAAATAGTGATAATATCAGGTGAGTACACTACTCTCAACAGCGCATGTGTGATTCAATCGGTGCAACCATTGAAACGTCGGTGCAACGTCCTGAGAGGGTACGTAAGTCCCAAAACATTCAAAGTAAATTTAATCTCTCCACTTTTTAAATCGTAGAATATGTGTATATTTAATGTATGGCTAGATTTGTCTAAATTTGCTAGCAGCTGACGGTATGATGTAAATCCAGCTAGGGCCCATGCAGGAAGCAAATGTACTGTAAGTCCCCGTGGTCCCTAGTATGGTGATCTACCTTCAGTTGTTTGGCAATCTATATCCTGTTTTTATATTGTGTTGTCCTCTTTAAAAGTATCGTTTTATGATAACATGCTGGTTTTACTTCAATATCAGTGATACACTGGTAGTTCTACTGTTCTTCGTCAGCAGGCCTCAATTGTTCTCGTCACGATATGGCTGAAATATTGCCGATGTGACGATAAATATTAACTCACTCACTATGTTTGCCCATATACATTTGTCTGAAAGAAACACTATACTAATAGTGAGTGAGTGAGTGAGTATGGTTTTACGCCTGTTTTAGTTACGCAGTTACGTGTTCGCAAAAGCTGAACACTTCCTACCCATACAAGGTCACACCTGAGAAACATATGAATCCCCCCCCATCCCCCCCCCCCCCACGCACACAAACACACACGCACAAAATATAACAAAACCAATGGTACAGTACAAACTACGAATGTTTTTCCAACATCATTCCCATCTAGCCATTGAAACGTCACATTTTCTACCATAAACCTCTTTGAAGGCTTGTTGAAGTGTCCGAGGTGTTGGGTCCTTCAGCCAACAACGTTTGCGCATGAGTCCTATGACAAATTCTCCAAGAGAGCATTCTCGCATGGACCTACATTAATTCCACATCTATATCCGGAAATACGCGCGCGCGGCAGCTCTCGCCCACGGGGATATATTGCGCAAATAGACCTAACTAGGGCCCTACATGACCAAAATTATTTATACAGTTATAAACCTTTCCTTAAGAATACATTTGAACGAATAGGAGCAAATTGCAATAGCATGCATTTAATGGAAGCAAAATACGAGTAAAAACTAAACTCTAGTTATGCCTGAAACGATAAGTTCAAAGAAACAACGCTCTCTGTCCAAGATGGATATGTGTTTGATGCCTGACCACCATAAGCAAACACAAGTCGTCCTACTGTATTATAAGGCCCTCATGGTCTAGGCTTTTGCTTTTCGTTTCATGAAGGTTTTCATTACAGATGGCATGATCGCACTAGGACAAACACGATTCATTAACCTCGCTGACCTGTGACGTCCTGCATCCATTAGCCTCGGAATGAGTTCCCCTGCACATTAATGTCCCTCCCCTACCCCCTCCTATCCCACAAGGGGTCTGTCACGACGTGCTCTAAACTACTGATGTTTCACTTATGACATGACTGTTCATGAAACAATTGTTGTATTGATGTTTACACATCGGTTATCCGAGGTTGTGTTGGCAGTGGGAACAACTACACACGTTTTATGCGCGACAGTAATAGAAGACAGACTTGGTATGATAATTTTCATTCAACAAATGAAAATATGAACACTGAAGCGCCTGTAAAATGAATAACGCAACCACCTGGATTTGCAGGGTTGTTTCAAAATACAGGCTGAACAATGTACATGTGTATCTACGGTGATTCAAAACAAAAGGCATGGTGAGGTTGTGTTCATACTACAGATGCGTTGTAGAAGTGCTTGTATTTAATTAAAAATACGCTCAGAGGAAATACAGGAGTACAGTGTATCAATAACGAGTTTCTTAAAAATGAAACATACACATTTATGGACAACAACATCTTATTATTGCGTATAACGACGTTTCGAAGTAGATTCTTACACCGTTATCAAGCTAAAAGTCTTTTTTTGTCCAGCTGACATGCCGATCAAACATGCCGAGTTTCTTGGTAGGAAGGTAAGAATATGTTGCTTTTGTTGATGTTGATGTTTGTGGCTCTCACGGTAAACCTGTAGTGACCACTTGTCCTATGTCCAAGTACAAACTTTATGTGACTTCTTTGAGTGGCATTTGAGAAGTTGGGAAGTACAATATAGAACAAACTTTATGGATAACAACTTCTTTTTATTCGTGAGTGCGACGTTTCGATACAGATTCTTGTACCGTTGTCAGGTTGAAGTTTGTTCTATATTAAACTTTATGTGGACATCACTGTGTGTGTCATGTTACCAGGTTTCGTCAGTCTTGAGGCAGGGGCGGATACAGCTTTTTGAGAAAGGCGGGGTGCACACTATTGAGAAAAGGAGGAGTGCACACTTCATTTTCACCTGAGTTTCACTGGTCATTTAACAAACTTTCAGCACAAAAGGGGGGTGAACCCCTGCACCACCCCACCCCAACCACCCACCCTCTCTGGATCCGCCTATGTTGTGGCAAGGAGCATATATCGTCATGACCGGTCTGGAATCGATCATTGACATTTACCAAGTCTGCCAAATAGATACTGTTTGGACCAACTACACATTGGAGAATCTGGTTTAGTCCAGGCACCACCAACCTAATCGTCACACACACATATGACTTGACAAGTGAAGTGTTCGCCTGATAAATAAATGTGAACATATCGTTCAAGACCCTATTTGCACTGGATCAGCATTTTAACGAATACCTGATATCCACACAATTTTAACATTTGTGAATTTGTTGTCATCGTACAAGCGGTTCTGCTTTTGCGAGAGCATTATGTCTCTTTCAATATGATGATGCAGGCTTCCTTTTATGCCCTGCATCAATTTTGTCTCGTATCTACAACCTGTGTAACATACAGCGTAGGTACTAACATGACACAAACTTTTGAAAACATGAAGATATGATTCAGGTTGGCAAAAGAGGAAGAGAAGAAGAGTAAAATCCCAATAAAAACAACACCCACACTAATGAGATGACTTCATCTTTCCAAAAGCGGGGCGATGGGGTAACCTAGTTGTTAAAAGCGTTCGCTCGTCACGCCGAAGAACCAGTTTCGATTCCCCACGTGGGTACAATGTGTGAAGTCAATTTTTAGTTTCCCCGGCCGTGATGTTGGTGGAATATTGAAAGTAAAACTCAACCCACTCACTCACTCACCTTCCAAAAGTCAGCCTTCATCCTACCATTAACGTTATGTTTGTATGCATCTGTGCTTGGATAGGGTATGTTCACAATTCCTGGAACCTCATATCAATATTATTAAGCAGTATTGACTTCTAATGGTTTATGGTTTTTAGAAATACTAGTATTCCAGCAATATCACTGGACACCGGGAATGGGCTCCACACATTGTACGCATGAAAGGAATCGAACCTGCGTCTTTGGCGTGACGAGCGAACGCTTTAATTACTAGGCTAACCCACCACCCCTATATAGCACTACACATACATGTTCATAATATGCTTTATTTAATACACACTGCTATTTGAGGTTTGTGACAGATGCAATCTGAAGGAGAATGTGGAAACTGTTTATACGGATGTTATCATTGTTAAAGGAACAGGTCTCTTGCAGAAATGTAGGGTATCTTGTTGACAACTGTTCTTCAACACCAGAACAAATGTACCTTGCGTCACATTAGGTCAATGAGGTTGATTTTATTCAGTTTTTATATGACACTTGTTTATATCTTTTATGGTGGGTACGCAAAAGCAGATATCCAACTTCTGGGCTGCCGGGTGAATCAGTGAGAGTGATCTGGGAAGTTAGCTGAACAACATGAAGCACAGTAACATTTCACTGGCTCATGAATGTAGTTTTCAAAACAGTGTTTGTATGAATCTAGATTGACCTGGGGATTCTCTATATAGCTTAGATCGTTTATGTTGTTTCACTGCTTGAACATATCCACAATATTGGATTTGAAGGTTGGTCTTCGTGCCAGGTGTTGCATCCTGTACTCCTCCCTGTATCCGACATCGGCAGGGAGCCAGTCATCGGCAGGACTCAAGGCAAGATTCACACTCTGAAAACGGAATGAAATCACTCGCATTAAACATGAAAGAGTCTTTTCATCGTCACATACGCGGCATAATGAGCTACAAGGGTCAGAGGTTAAGAGAACTACTCTAACGTGAGGGAATAAGCCAATTTCTGCCAACACCTATGCCGTATCTACCCGAGCCCTGTGCTGCTCTTGGAGGGTCGTGCGTCGTCAGATATACCATGACTAACCAAAGTGTGCACCATATCGATCAATGACTACACCCCAGTGGCAATTAGTTAGACCATTGGATCAAAATTATTTCTTCCAGACTCCAAGAGAAAAACTCCATACTTACTGCTGAGGCCACGGCTATCAAGCCAGCTTGGGTATATTTTTAGAAACACAATTCATGTAGCTACTTCATGATTTTCTCCGGCTTACCTACTTACCTACAGACACTTAAAGTCGAATCATCCTCAAATTCTTGATATTTTAGACTCATGCAATATTCTTATCACTGGCCGATACGATGTTGTTTTGATTTAGTTACCTGGTCATTTTAGTCTGACAATTAGTACAAGAGCCGATGCAAAACAGACGGGACACACAAATCGGTAAACATGTCCGTCATGAATTGAAACCTAAATCAGTTTAGACCTACTCAGCGAGTCAATCTAGGTGATAATGCGATGATGCCGGATTGGTCATGCGCGTTTTATACATGAATAATTATTAAAGAGTTTAAATTTAACGTCACATCGGCAATCTTGCAGCCATATCGTGATGAGGATTTGAATAATAAATAAAGTCGCAATAAATAAAGTCAAATTATAAAACCTGTCAACGAAGCACAGTAAAGTAACTAGAGGATCACAGATATTAAATCAGTACGAAAAACTAAAAACTTTTAACTATAGAAGACAATAAAATATAAAAACAGGCTATACATTGGCAACTGCTGAAGGTTGATCACCATACTGGAACCTTGGTATTACAGAGTGAATATCCTTATCACAGTCATGCACATTTACTTGCTTGCGTAGGGATATATATCATCATTCATCTACTTTGAGGGATAGTTTTCTAATAATATTAATTTTCACATTTATATCTTGATTTTTATAAGTAAACGAATTGTACCATAAATTTGAAATATTTGAATTTTGTTAGAAATTATTGTGATGTTATCAACAATTAAGATTATTGACGGTGGTTAAGCAGTAGTGTATAAAGGTTGCCCCCTGTCACGCCAGATTCTCTCAAGTTCTGTTGCAAGGTCAAGGACGTTATCTGGCGGATGAGGAATCCGGCGTAGACGTCGATCCATCTCGTCCCAAACATGCTCTATTGGGGAGAGATCCGGTGAATTCGCAGGCCAAGGCAGTAAGTCAACGTTGTGGTGTTGCAAGAAATCCATAGCAACCCTTGTCGTATGAGGGCTGGCATTGTCTTGGTGGAATGTAAACCCAGGGCCATGACGTTGCAGAAAAGGAATTGCCACAGGTCGAAGAATCTCATCCCTGTAGCCCACACCAGTTAAGCTGGCCTGAACAATCACCAAAGGAGTTCTTTGGCGTGCTGTTATTCCACCCCAAATCATCACGGAACCACCACCAAAGCGATTCCTCTCCAAGACACAGGCCTGTGCATAACGTTCTCCCACGCGTCTATAGGCACGTTGACGTCCATCACTATGGAAAATGGTAAACCTGGACTCATCTGTAAAAACAACATTTCTCCACCAAAACAAGGGTCTGCGGACATGATTTCGGCACCACATTCGGCGAGCTTGTCGATGACGTTGTGTCAGGATAGGCCGTATGGCGGGACGTCGTGGTCTGATCCCGTGATAACGTAAACGTTGTCGAACTGTGTTGGGGTGGATACGGCGAAGTCCTGGAATGGTTCCGGCAGTCATAACTGCAGTCTGAAACCTGTGGCGAAGATGGGTCACCCTTATCCATCTGTCCTGTCTTGGCGTTATTACACGTGGACGTCCAGAACGTGGCCGATCGATGACGTCATTTGTGTTCTGGTAGCGTCTCATCAGTGCAGAAATGGTGTTCCGGTGGCAGTGGAAATGTGCAGCCACTTGTCGTTGAGACATTCCCCATCAGACCATCCCAATGGCCTCATGACGTTGTGCAGACGTGAGCCTTGGCATGCTATGCGTTTCAATAGCCGTTTAATTTTTGAACGATCGCAAGGGCATGGGTTGAGCTTTCCAAATTGACAGTATTGTGTGGCATTCATTTGCTCTGTTTATCTTTCCCGGACTGCACGTGCAACAACGTATTGCACGTCTCAAGGACAAACCCACTGACGTCACGGAACGTGGCACGTGCATGCATGCTGGATACATGTCACTAATCTCTGAGGTTAAATCCTTATGTGTCTACACAGGTTTGATAAATTTAGATTTAAAATTTTTGTTTGCACAGTTTCTTTATGTGCCTAGTTTATTTGGGGTTTTAATACCTAAAACTGTTATATCTACGTCACTGTTTTTTGCAGAAAAAATAACTTGTTTTCATCATCATAAGGCTGTAATATTGCCGATGCGATGTACAATCTTAACTCACTAACTCACTCGTACTGTAAAATTATTGTCCTCCTGAGAGGATACGTAAGTCCCAAAACATTCAAAGTAAATTTAAACTCTCCACTTTTTTAATCGTAGAATATGTGTACTTTTAATGTATGGCTAGATTTGTCTAAATTGCTAACAGCTGACGGGATGATGTAAATCCAGCTAGGGCCCATGCAGGAAGCAAATGTATAAGTTCCCATGGTCCCTAGTATGGTGATCTACCTTCAGTTGTTGGCAATCTATAGCCTGTTTTTATTTTGGAATGTCATTTATAGTTAAAATATTTTAGAGTCAATTACTAGTCTAAAATGTATTCCTGTGATAATGTAGTTGTTTTACTGTCATTTGCAGACAGGTAAGTATATTATATAAGTTTGTCTTTATTCATTTATAACTTTCTTAGTCACGATATGGCTGAAATACTGCCGATGTGACATCAAATTTTAACTCACTCACGAACTAAGCACGTGTGTTTCTCATATCATGAGCATAGTTAAGTGTAGATATATTTCAAGCAGAGTATTAACCACTTGACCATACTTAATGGATAGTTTACGTTTGTCGCTGTCTGTTAAACAAGGCCAGTAAGCTCTTGCTGTCCTATTGTCCAGGTATTACGGATAGCCTTTGACTGGTCTGGGGCGTTATTCAGTGATTCTGTAAGAACACCCCGATCAACCTTTCCTCCCATGCAATGCTGAATGTGTTGCATTTGGTCATCATCAAGATACGCCTCTGGCCAATCTAAATCGATAACATATGCACCTTCAAGAAATACGTACTAACATTTTGCAGCTTTCATATCTGGCTGTTGCCATATTTTGCAAGTAATGAGAGAAACAGACCCGTCTCCAAAAGAATACGAAGTTTCTCTTAAAACTGAATCGATTGTTCAATTCCGACTTTACAATGAATATGTATATGAATCATTATCAAATAAAGATGATTCACCAGGGAATCTTGTCGCTGCCATTAGGCTTATATATACATGAATCTTTGAACCGGGTGGTGATCAACAGTTGCATAATGTTTCCAGACATAGAACTAAATTTCATATACACTAACAACTTTGTGCATATAAGACTGGAATGAATTTTAACCCTGGTTACATCAGCATAAACACAAGAACGCGGGATCAAGAAACACTCTAGTTCCGTCCTTGGTTCTGTAGCTCTGACGTAATGGACCAGGCGATGTCCAATTGTCCATTAAGTCCAGATAACACAAGGACATGTATTACCTTCTTCAGGGAATTTGTCGTCATGTGCTTCCTAACAGTCATGCACATGTAGACGGGTATCGGTAGAAGGGGCAGCACTGCAATAATCCAGCCGATTGTAGAGGCGTAGCTAGGAAACACGTACTTGCCGTAGGTTGGTGGTTGGTAGCGGAGAAGTGTCAGGATGAATGTGATCTGACAGAACAACATCGATGACATATTGGGACTATGTACATCTTTAACTGTGGTTGATGGTTTTTTATATTTACAACATCATTTTAACATTATTTATATGCATTGCTGGAATTCCATCATGTCATGAAATGTATTATTGATACTTCTCGATTTTCACAATTTCCCTGAATCAATACCACGCACAGGGCAGTAGTATCAAGACTGAGAACTGACGAATAATGATCTTTCAGCCTGGAGTACATACTGTCAGATGATCTTGAAACGTTCACTCTCCACAGCGAAGACCAATTATCTAATGCCTATATGGTCACTGTGTTAGAAGCCTGTTTTCGGTGTCCATCACTAATATTACTGGAATATTGCATTAATATGTAGGAGGCCTAAACCAATTATCACTCACTGTTAAGACTGCTGGTGTCACAAATACCAAGAGAACCTTGATGAGAGGTGATAGTCGTTTTCCATACATCATCTCCACGTCGTTGGTCATGCGTCTAATTCCTGGTATAAAGAAGTAAGAAGTTTAGTTTGAAGTATTTTCTCCTAATATATCACGTCAAGATAATTGCATTTTCTTGTCTTGTTTGTCTGGGAACAGTGAAGGATGTGGGAAACGACTATTTGGCACATATCGCTAGTATCGTGTGGTATATACGAACCATATATGCACCCGACGGCAACACACTCCATTGTGCAGAACACCATGGGAGCAAGAGAGGCTTCATACCAGTCCAGCAGCTGGAACATGTACGGCCCTCCCTGAAATATAGTTAAACCTGTATGGTCCCTAGTGGTCCTTGGTATACATGGAGCATCATTTGCAGTGTTCTCCTGTTAGTCATCTTATCCGGTGCGACCAACTTTACAATATTACAGCTACATCATGGTGGTCAGTAAATAAGCAAGTCTTGACTAGACAAGTGATTGATGTCATGAGCATCGATCTCCGCGACTGTGGTTCGACGGCAATCAAGCAAAGCACCCACATGGTCTATCGGATCCATTTAACGTCGTCTTGTGACGACGACACTGTTATTATTACTGCAACCTCTGTGCTTCTGCTGCATCTACCACCACAACCGCAGCTGCTACTGCTTCTTCTGCTATTAAAACTTCCCTTGGTGGTACTCAAACAAATTACACTGATGAACATCAACATCCACCCCTCACTGTTCATCGACAACTTTTCTGCTACTCCACCTGGATATTCTCCCATTAAACGCTTGTTGGTTTGTTGTTTTATGCCGCACTCAGCAACATTCCAACTATGTGGTGACGGTCTGTAGATAATCGAGTCTGGACCAGACAATACAGTCATCCACAGAATGAGCATCGATCTATGCACTTGGGATACGATGACATGTGTCAACCAAGCCAGCCAGCCTGACCACCCGATCCCATTAGTCGCCTCTTACGACAAATATGGGTTGCAGAAGATCAATTGGAACCCGGATCTTCACGGGTTATTCTTCCATCAAGAAGGTCCTGTGTATCATACATTGCGTTATTCATCATTGTGTAATCACCTGTGTGCAGAAGACGATTCCAAGAAAAAATAACGTAAGGCAGAATCCTGCTGTTACAAGCATCCTCCTCTTCCCCAAGCGTTTTGGATACTGGTCAACGAACGCAGTAACAACCACTTCAGTACCCATGAACTACAAGGAACAAAAGGCGGTGTGGTGTTACAGTGGAAAGGGAACTCATTTGTTGTATGTGTTTACCTAAATTGCTTTACTGTAGATTTGACACGCATTGAAACCATTATTAAATTAGAAGCATGTATCCAGATTCAAGCTGGCAATATTTTACATATGATCCATGGCTCACCATTTGTTGGTTGGATATATAACGTCACGCTCAGCTATATTTGAGCTGTAGTGTTAGTGTTGATTGGCTAGTGGTCCGTAAATGTATGACAGCAGTCAACAAATACTCGATTCGATATCAGACAAGTGATTCACATTATGCTCATTCATCTCCGCAATCGGGATACGATGAGTGAGTGTAGTTTTACGCCGCACTCAACATATTCCAGCTTTATGGCGGCGGTCTGTAAATAATCGAGTCTGGACCAGACAATTAAGTGATCAACAGCAAGAGCATTGATCTACGCATTTGGGAACCGATGACATGTGTCAACCAAGTCAGCGAGCCTGACCACCCGATCCCGTTAGTCGCCTCTTACGACAAGCATGGGTTACTGAAGGCCCATTCTAACCCGGACCTTCAGGGGTTCGGGATACGATGACATACATAGACGACGTCAGCAAGCCTGACCAGCCGATCATGTCATGTCTACTTATACCAATCACAGATGTTGCCGAAGACCAACTGTAGCCCTGATATTCGCCGGTCCTATGGCCTGTGAATTATACGCTATACTATACTAGTCACATAAAGAAACTGTGCATTGTCAAAATATTATCCCAGTTGATAAGTACGATAACAATGTCAAAGGTACAAGTCGGGAGAATGTCAATTGAAAAGTCAATCACAATGACGTCACGAATCCACAAGCGGGACAGGGGTCAAACGACCATGTCACAAGCTCAATAACGGGTATGTCCACCATCGGCATTGAGACGAGCAGTGCATCGACGACGCATAGAGCCTATCAAACGTGCAAGGACTGACTGACTGACTGAGATTGGTTTTACGCCGCTTTTAGCAATATTCCAGCAACATCACGGCGGGGGACACCAGAAATGGGCTTCACTCATTGTACCCATGTGGGGATTCGAACCCGGGTCTTCGGCGTGACGAGCCAACGCTTTAACGACTAGACTACCCCGCCGCCCCAAACGTGCAAGGAAGGCTTGTGGGATGTCACGCCAGATTCTCTCAAGTTCTGTTGCAAGGTCAAGGACGTTATCTGGCGGATTCTTAAGACGGCGTAGACGTCGATCCATCTCGTCCCAAACATGCTCTATTGGGGAGAGATCCGGTGTGTTCTGGTAGCGTCTCACCAGTGCAGAAATGGTGTTCCGGTGGCAGTGGAAATGTGCAGCCACTTGTCGTTGTGCAGACGTGAGCCTTGGCATGCTATGCGTTTCAATAGCCGTTTAATTTTTTGAAAGGGCAGGGTTGAGCTTTCCAAAGTGACAGTATTGTGTGGCATTCATTTGCTGTTTCTCTTTCCCGGAATGCACGTGCAACAACGTATTGCACGTCTCAAGGTCGAACCAATTGACGTCACGGAACGTGGCACGTGCATGCATGTTGGATACATGTCACTAATCTCTGAGTTTAAATCCTTATGTGTCTACACAGGTTTGATAAATTTAGATTTAAATGTTTGTCTGCACAGTTTCTTTATGTGCCTAGTATATATATATACACACCCCTTCCTGTTATTCTTTCATACCTCAGAATCTAAGCCAACCATCAACAACATCAGAAAGAACAGGAATGACCACAGCTGAGGGACCGGAAGTTGGGCTAGCGCGTCTGGGTAGGTTACAAATCCCAAACCTGGACCTTAAGCACAATATAGTCATTCATAGAAAATATTACTAACCAAGGATATGACACATACAGTTAGATGGTAGGTTTGTTGGTTAACGCCGTACTCAGCACTATTCCAGCAATATGGCGGCGGTCTGTAAATAATCGAGTCTGGACCAGACAATCCAGTGATCAACAGCATGAACATCAATCTACGCAATTGGGATAAGTAGTTAGTGCCAAGTCGCATATATATGCATATATAAGTTTATTACATTCTGTTTGCAAAGCAATGGTGCTTATCTCGGCCTGACAATTGATTTTTGATCCTTTCTAATTAGAATAAATGTTTCACAAATTTTACTAAATGAAAAAGGCATATTTTGGTCGTTAAGGTTCCCAATTCTTGTCTTCTACGACATGCAGATATGTTCCACAAACATGTATAACTCCACATTATAGTGGCAATGGTGGGGAGACACAATGAGCTGGAGGAAAGACCTACTTTGACTTTCGATAACATTGAGGTCTTCAAATATATGCTTACTTGCTCTGTTCCAGAATTGAGAAAAATCAGGATTTTATCGGATTGTTGGCAGAAACAAGACATGAATGTATTAAGACGTTGACAGGTTATTTTCTCAATTTATTGTTGATATAGCGATCTTTCATCAGGAGTAAAGATATTCGCGCTTACATTGGACGTAAAAGGTAAAACAGTGAAGATTTTATGGATGGATCAATATGAACTTGCCGCACAACATGCAGCTCCTGACTCGCCTACCTGTCGAAACTACCTTCGCAATGGGGACACCTGTTTTCTGTGCCATCACTCCAAGAACAGCAAACGTCACCAGGCCAGAAAAGATGCTGGTTCCCTCCGATACCATGGTCAGTATGAGGCAGTCTCTGTAAAATTATATTTTCCAGTGAGCAATGTCAAACCTTGATAAGATACCATTGCTGGAGAATGGTCTTGAATTTCCTGATAACGATATGGACAATAAATAATGTCACATTTTATATATGCGACAAATATTTAAAGGGTTCTAGATTAAGGCAAGTATATGCCTTCGATATGCTTCACCTCTGTGAGTGGCGGTGGAGTAGCCTAGTGGTTAAAGCGTAAGCTTGTCACGTCGAAGACCCGGGTTCGATTCCCCACATGGGTACAATGTGTGAAGCCCATTTCTGGTGTCTTCCGCCGTAATATTGCTGGAATATTGCTAAAAGCGGTGTAAAACCATACTCACTCACCTATGTGCTCACTAATCAAGGAGGCTACTGACCTGAGACAAGGTTCGTGGAATTTTTTTGTAGCTTGCCGCTGTGCCTATCATTCCCCAGCCAGGGCCTAGTGAGAAAAACACCTGTAAAGACGCTTCAAGCCATACCTGAAATGAGTGAGTTAAAATGTTACATCGCATCAGTAATATTACAGCCATATCGGGCAGAGAACATTATGTGTTATCCAACATGTGTCTATAAAGGACAATAAAACAGTAAGGTAGGCATCACAATTGTAGGGATAAAACCATCTATATCGATATTAAAAAATAGAGCATGTTTCAACACATTATTTAGTATAGATTAAAACTAGCGTGAAGGTAACTAGCAAACAAAGCTAGAAATTAAACGTGTTTCGTTTTTAAGTAGTGTGATTTAAATCTAGTTCGTTATATACTTTACATGATTAGCAGAACAGTGAAGTATATACGTGATGTTCACAGACACAATGGAATATAAGACAAATCAGTGCCAGAAAGTCTCATGCTGGAAATGTACAAACCGCATGTTCGTCTGCAATATCATCTACACAACTTTGACGGTGTTTGAAATATTCTGTGTCGTGTCAAGTAGTGACGCACCTGTATATCAAGTAGTAACGCACCTGTATGTCAAGTAGTAGCGCACCTGAATGTCAAATAGTAACGCATATGAATGTCAAGTAGTAACGCACCTATATGTCAAGTAGTAACGCATCTGTATGTCAAGTAGTAACGCACCTGTATGTCAAGTAGTGACGCACCTGTATCTCAAGTAGTAACGCACCTGTATGTCAAGTAATAACGCACCTGAACGTCAAGTAGTAACGCACCTATAGGTCAGGTAGTAACGCATATATATGTCAAGTAGTAACGCATCTGTATGTCAAGTAGTAACGCACCTGTATGTCAAATAGTAACGCACCTGTATGTCAAGTAGTAACGCATATGTATGTCAAGTAGTAACGCATCTGTATGTCAAGTAGTAACGCATATGCATGTCAAGAAATAACGCACCTTTATGTCAAGTAGTAACGCACCTGTATGTCAAATAGTAACGCATATGCATGTCAAGTAATAAAGCACCTATATGTCAAGTAGTAATGCATATGTATGTCAAGTAGTAACACATATGTATGTCAAGTAGTGACGCACCTGTATGTCAAGTAGTAACGCACCTATATGTCAAGTAGTGACGCACCTGTATGTCAAGTAATAACGCACCTGTATGTCAAGTAGTAATGCACCTGTATGTCAAGTAGTAACGCATATGTATGTCAAGTAGTAATGCACCTGTATGTCAAGTAGTAATGCACCTGTATGTCAAGTAGTAACGCATATGTATGTCAAGTAGTAATGCACCTGTATGTCAAGTAGTAACGCATATGTATGTCAAGTAATAACGCACCTGTATGTCAAGAAGTAACGCATCTGTATGTCAAGTAATAACGCACCTGTATGTCAAGAGGTTATGCATGTGCATGCCAAGTAGTAATGCACCTGTATGTCAAGTAGTATCGCACCTGTATGTCAAGTAGTAACGCACCTGTATGTCAAGTAGTTGTTTGAAGTCGGGAACGAGGAAGTATAGAAGGCCGTCTGTGGCTCCAGGCTTTAGCAATGTAGTGATGAAGATGGACAGCAGCAGGATGTACGGAAGCAGCGCAGTCACATACACAACCTAGTTTCAAAGAGAATACTTCATAGCATATCCTTTTTCAAAACAATAGCCATACGTCTGTAAATATACATAGTGCATATGTCTTTCTAGCTGATCATATTTTCCCCAGATGAGAGGAGTCCTAGATTTTATGCGATGTCTTACCTTGCCCGCGGACCTAATTCCATGGATCAGACATAGAAAGATGAGCACATATGATGCAAAGAGGCACCCAACTATGTGCCACTGTACAGACCCCACGTCGTCCAACCCGGTCGAGATACTCAGTACATTGTACCTGTAAATAGAAGTGCTCTGCCATAGGACAACGAAACTGCAATTCTGCCTGGCCTTAATCAGCACAGAACCGACTCAATAGGAATTAACAAAACCAGCATGATGGTATAGATAAAATATATTAACAACAGCAATGGATTATTAGATCCCCAACTGGATGAAACCAGGTGACACGGACCAAAATATGCATATCTAATAAAATAAATTACCGATTATGTCTTAAGTGCATTGAATTTCTAATGCCCCTGGGATCACCTTGTCAGCGATGTGCGCTGTCATGGGTGCTCATTTGTCACTCATCAGGCATATACAATTGATTTTGATTATAGATGACATGCAAATGTAATAACTATTAAATGGGACCTTAAACTGGTTGAGTTCTAGTATCTAAATGAATGTCAGGATGACATTATAAACAGTAATTAAAATGGCATGTTGGTTAGATCGTTTGGAAAGTTCTGAGTAGGATTCCGGTGGTTGTATTGCTTGTTATTATTTTTCATCATAATGTCTACACATAATATCCATCACAATAAGGTCCACACGCTTGTAACGTGTATGTTTGGCCTCCTGGATCTGGGATAACAGGGTTTCTCCTATTGGGATAACACATTCTTCCAATGCAGAACAATTCTTGTTCGACGTTAGGTGTGTTCACAATCACTGTCTTACATCCATTTACACGACGTTTAGCAGGAATGGTGTTTACCCTTTCAGTTAGAAACATGTCATCAATAGAGCATACCCAGTGATGTCCGTGTCGTCATAAATATACTATATATAATTGAGAATGGAGTGGCTCAAATACAGTATGCAGGTCTGGAGAATGTTTTGAAGAGTGTACAATGCACAATTCTCATTTAGGCACAGGATCGCTCAGTCACCAAAATACGTAGTGGTTGTTACTGTCTTACTGCCAAAATTCCTCAGACGCCGAGTGAGCGAGCGTGACATTTTCCCAACGCTGTGCGACAGGGACGGTTATGTTAACAGTCGGGGTAGTTCCGTTGTTGCTGCTATGGGTGACGTTCCTCAAGTCTTCTACACACAGATCGGTGTTCCAGTCATTGCCACAAGTTGTCCAGGGCAGGACCCTGGAGCAGGACTTGACCATGTAGTAGATGGGCCAGGCCAGATACAGGTTGTAATAAGGCACGTAGAGGAATGTAAGTACTACACAACCAGTGCCAATCCCTGTGGAAGACAAGGAGACTTCCTCACTTTCATAACTCACAAATGTATTCTTATTGATTTGAATTCAATGGTACAAAGACACCACTTCAAAACATTTAGTGTTCCTGAACAATTTGGTTGAAAGTATAAACATCCAACTTTGTTCCCAACCTGTAATTTACAAAGCATCCGTTGGGCTTTGAATAAGAACCATCAAAGCGCGAAAACCTTTCCCTGATCAAATGACTTCTATGCTCGGCGTCACCTGTACGATTCCGATTGTATCAAGAGTATTTGATGATCAGTTGATCAAAGGTGGAATAAAGTTAAAGGAACACCCTCGCAAGGAAATGATTAGTGTTTATTTCCAAAATATCTACAGGCTGAAGTATTCTCTGATGGAGAACCAGAGGACAAATCGAGGGTACAGAGTGAGTGAGTGGAGTGGAGTGGAGTGGAGTGGAGTGAGTGAGTGAGTGAGTGAGTGAGTGAGTGAGTGAGTGAGTGAGTGAGTGAGTGAGTGAGTGAGTGAGTGCGTGAGTGAGTGAGTGAGTGAGTGAGTGAGTGAGTGAGTGTGGAGTGAGTGGTGTGGAGTGAGTGAGTGAGTGAGTGAGTGAGTGAGTGAGTGAGTGAGTGAGTGAGTGAGTGCGTGCGTGCGTGCGTGCGTGCGTGCGTGCGTGCGTGCGTGCGTGCCTGAGTGAGTTTAGTTTTACGCCGTACTCAGGAATATTCCAACTATATGGCGGCGGTCTGTAAATAATCGACCCTGGACCAGACAATCCAGTGATCAACAGCATGAGCATCGATCTACGCATTTGGGTACCGATGACATGTGTCAACCAAGTCAGCGGGTCTGACCACCTGCGATCCCGTTAGTCGCCTCTTACGACAAGTATGGGTTACTGAAGATCAATATTCTGTGGGTACAGATGTTGTAACAAGTTAGGTGTAAGGGACGTGGTCGTCAGCATATTTGATTTCTCATCCCAACCGTCATGATCAGTTTCATAGAGACATTGCAAATAAAAACGGATTTCAAAGAAAGATCTTACTGATAATAAAAGTCAATGGACATGTGCTTGTTGGTGGTGTTGTTCAGTAATGATGTCAGTTTTGACAGTATATCGATTCCTACAAATTCTAGTTTTTGATTTACCTAATTCAAAAGAATAATTACTATGAGCGTAGGCGGAGACAATAACGCTGCAAGGGACGTGTTATGCCAAAACACGATAATTAACGTCTATGGCCTCATTATACATTTTCAAACAAAAATTCCATGGAAAAACAACAACGTACGTTGAGTTTGTTATTTCTTCAACCAATGTGGAAGAATAATCTTGACGTCACTTCCGGAATTACATCCAGCAGAAACGTTAGACCTTTAAGACTAAAAGGTGAAGATGTATGGGTATCAACTTTATTGTTACGAACAATGACAATACAGAAGTTGACATTCACCGTTTAAGTGCATCACTTCTACATGCTGTTCAAAGTCGTTGGAAGATCAAGCATCAGATATCTACATCACGTGACAGTAAATTAGATGAGTGTTATGTACGAATTAACATGTCCAGGAAGGTGAAGTTTTACAAAGAGGCAATCGGAGAAATAATGATGTAATATTCATTGCAGTCATGGAACTTCAAGTCAATTACAAGCGTAACCAACCTTCTCGGTCGTGTTTTAGTCATCCCATTACATTTTTAAACAAGCAATCTTGTCTGACAACAGTGTACGACTGGCTAAGTCAACCAGACGAATAACTTGAAAACAACCATAACGTGTTCTGAAACGCACAAAAGTGCGTCAAGCACATCATACAATAGAATAGAATAACATCTGCTACAAATTTCATACGGATCTGTAAAAATCGATCTGTCTGACATAACTGCTTCTCGTATAGATTGCATAGTTCCATATACATAAGTTTCCGACCAGATGTGAGGTGATAAGAACTACTAAAATAATTCATGACTGTAGTTTCATGGAGTCCAACAGTTGTCTCACCCCTCTGTCGCAGAATTGCTATTATTACTAGCGAATTGGTCACTGGGTTTGACAGTCCACCATGACCGCCATGTCGTCGTGATCCAACTGTTCATTGGCGCATTGTCAGTACTTGGACATGTTCGAATGGCTTATCTAGTTTTGCCAGGAGAATGTTAATATGCTCTGAAGTCGGCGGTGCCGTTTGAATCTTGATATCTCTCTTTATCAAATGATCATTAAATTCTCTGTCATTGTCACCCCTGGACGTGTATGTGTTATCCTCCACACGTTGCCTGTTGTAATCATAGTTTTCACTGTAATACGGACCATTGTGCCCCGTTTTAGGGTTACCTTCATGCCTTTGATTTCTGTTTATCATCCAAAACTGTGTTCCACAGGAGATATCGCTTGTGTGACAGTAGACTTTGTACAATGCCCTGACAATGCTATGACGTCATGTACTTGATGACGTCACAATGCTATGACATCGCTGCACTGCAAGTCTAATGGCAGTACCATGTCCAGAGATGTACATTTTTCATTGAAAATTAATGAAGAGTGATTTTGGATGATAAATAGAATCTCACCCTCGTGTCTTCTGATATCAAATATATCAAACACTCGTTGATAAAGTAAAAATATCCTCGGCAAGCCTCGGATATTTGTAACTGTATCAACTCGTGTTGATATAATTGATATCAGAAGACACTTGGGTGAGATTCTCTATTTCCCCCACAATAAACCTATCCTTATCTTATCTGATCAGCCACTGAGCCCTTATTACTAGGGCTCTATATTGACAAATAAACTGTATTGCAATATATTGCGATTCTGGTACCCGTATTCCGATACGTATTGCGATATGTTGGGAGCTTCAGTGTTTGACAGTGAGTGACATTGATTGTACATGCAGAGCCTATTTACATACATACTAAAGCCCCCTTAAATAAATTTAACGAAGTCTGGAATTTAAATTCTATTTTAAGGACTGTATTTTCTTTTTATAAAGGCTATTGTTTGTAAAGTATATTGTTTTGCCAATCAATTGCAATGAAACACTTCAATGTGAATGAAAGTCTGTGTACACTTCATACATTTTATTAACCAATGTACCGGTTCTGAGAAAATACTTTGCAATACGTATCATTGGAAAGGCGTTCTGCGATATACCTGAAATAACCTGCAATCCTACTTTTTAGCCAGCATATACTCAGGTATCCTACTCAGGTACGTTAAATGGATCTTTAATAAATTGACAATTACCCTGTGGAGTTGTCAGTTATCAATTCCTGGCTACCCATTGTGAAGAATAGAGAACACCTGTGTTACACAATTTGTTTCTCGTCGGTTCAGAATACAATCAGGAGAGACAGCTGTTCCAGTGTCCTGTTTGATTGAAGATCCGCGGCCGGGATATGGCGCCAAACAAGAACCCATCATCCCATTCTAAGATTTCGAAATTCGTGGACTGAATATGATGGTTGGGGAAGCTTTGCTGGTCGTCAGAGCGCATTAAAATGCCAGAACGTCTTAAACGTTTAACCGAACAAAGACTGTTTACCATCCAAATTGTAGAATAGAACGTGTTATTGATGGCAATATATACTGAGTCAAAAAAGAAACTTCGCAAAATGTAATTTGAAAAATAATGAATAATTTTTCTCTGATGATACATCTATTTATCCGAAATGGGATCCCTATCTTTCGACTCTAGAAAAACGTTAGCAAAACCCACTCAAACCCATCCATTCGTCGTGCAAATGACGTTAGTGCCAAATCAGGTTTTGCACGTGCAGTCGATCACGTGATCTTCGCATCGAAGTTTTCTTCATATGCACGTGTTTGCAATGGCCTCAAGAATTGAAAAAACAATTTTAAACCACAGTTCTAACGGTACTTGAAATGTCCACGATTGTCAAATGTGCAACGTGAACGTGCCGTTGGCATGTTGCAAGCGGGAAGATCAGTTATTGACGTCGCAAGAGCAATGGGATGCAGCCGTCGTACTGTGTATGACTTGCGAGGTCGTCTGGCACCACTTCTGATCGCCCAAGGTCGGGTCGTCCACGTGTGACGTCACGAGCAGAAGACCGTCAAATCGTCCTACGTCACCTACGTGACAGATTTCTGCCGGCTACACGAACCAGGGCTGAGATGTTTAGAGGTCGACTGTCCTCACAGACCATTCGAAATCGGTTGCGGGCTGCCAATCTCCATTCTCGACGTCCATATCGTTGGCCAATATTGACGCCGTTTCATCAACGTCAACGTCTGCTGTGGGCCCAACGTCACCTCCGATGGACCCAGAGAGACTGGAATCGAGTCGTCTTTAGCGATGAATCCAGGTTTACCCTCAGATTCGCGGACGGCTGGCACACAGTCTGGAGACGACGTCGTGAACGGTATGCCCAATGTTGTGTACAGGAAGTCGACAGATTCGGGGGCGGAAGTTGCATGGTGTGGGGGTGCTTTCTGTGGGAACAACCGTTCCCGACTTCTGGTCATCCGTGGAAACCTCACAGCTGCTGCTTACCGCGGCCAGGTGCTCACTCCTGAACTCGTTCCTTTCATGGCGGCTCATGGCCCAGGTCTACAGTTCCAGCATGATAATGCTCGGCCGCATACCGCAATGTTGACACGAAATTTCCTTCAAAACGCTGGAATCAACGTCATGGACTGGCCATCGAGGTCCCCTTACCTTAATCCAATAGAGCACGTTTGGGATGCACTTGGGAGAAGGCTTCGTGGTCTGAGGAACCAACTTCAGAATTTGCAGGAACTTGGCGCTGCCTTGCAAGAGCAATGCCGCAGAATGCCCAACCACATGTTTACAAGCATCAGGCAGTCGATGAGGAGACGGTGTTTGGCAGTGGTGAATGCGCGGGGCGGCCATACACGATATTGAACTGAGAAATTTCGCATTTTTATTTTTGTGACTTGACATTCTGTATACAAATGTTTTGGAACGGCGGTGTAGCCTAATGGAACTGATTATGGCACTGTCAGTGTATCGAGTACATCACACAGATCTCAGCAATGAAATAATAACAATTTAACCATCTTACCATCTCTTGTTCTTTATAGTGCCCTGAAGAAAGAATGTGAAGTTTCTTTTTTTGACTCAGTATATTTTCTTCAATTAAATGGCTATTTTGTAAAGCGAGTCACAGTTGTATCATTAACAATATTTCAATTTGGGTGGTCAGCAGGTTGTTGCGATCGCCTCTTGACCGCAGATCGTGACTTCTGCTTATCTGCAACAGTGTGTGGCATCAACGATACAAACGTTTGTGACGTGAAGATTTCTACTTTCGTAAACTGAATTTGATGGCTGGGGACACTTTGCTGTTCGCACGAGGGCATTGAAAGTTCACGGAACGTCATGGTGTTAGGGAAACATTTGATATAACATCCGTGAAGATCCAGGTTAAAATTCACGAGCAACGTCCATGCTGTGTCGTAAACATGGACTAACATTCGTCAGATCCAGTCAGGCATATGTCATCGTATCCCAGTAGCGTTGTCGTAGCTGAGGACTAACATCGGGTGGTCGTGCACATTGTCTGGTCCAAGTAGATTATTTACAGACCGCCGCCATATAAGTGGAACATTGCTGTTTGCGGCGTTAAACAACAAACCAACAAACAAACCTTTTGACCCAACCCGACCTCTTAGTCATTGTATTGGTTTTACAGTCGAGTATCAATAGATAAAAAGCGCATATCAGTTGTAAGCGAGAGTAAATATATTCCTGATCAGGGGAGTAACTCTCACGATGAGTCTGGTGTACGGAAGCATTGTAAATCAGTCGCCGGTAAGCAGCTGTTATTCTGGTTATCTGCTTACAGTTGCTGCTGTTGCTTCAGTGTTTGTCGTAACAAAACGTCTAGACAAAAGGTTTGCACAACGAAATCAATGTTTTGAATTCACTTTCACTCATTTAAACTTGGCGACACATCAGTTTACACATTGTGGATGTGTACATGTTGATGTGGAACGTCAGTGCAAAACCAATGCCCAATCCTGACTATCTTTTGAAACAGATTCCACATAGTGAAAAGGATAATAAAATGAGTGAGTGAGTAAGTGAATGAGTTAATGGGTAACGTCACATCATGAGCATTCATAGAATTGGTATTGATGGTAATGACCTCATTTCCAAGTATTCCAGATGATGTAGCTATATTTACACGTATGCACAGTTGATGTATGTTTGGAAATGTTGTCCATCAGTGTCCATACCTGTCCATGATCCTTGCCGGTCTATTTGATCATATCTTTGGATAGCTGGTTGGTTGTTGTTTAATGCCGCGTTCAGCAGTATTCCAGCTTTATGACGTCATTCTGCAAGTAATCGAGCCTAGACCAAACAATCCAGTGGTCAACATCGATCTACGCAATTGGGATACGATGGCATGTGACAATCAAATCAGCGAGGCTGACCTCCCGATCCCGTTAGTCGTCGGTTACGACCAGCATGTGTTGCTGAAAACCAATATCTAACCCGGATCTTCAGAGTCCTGAAAATCAATGATGACACTTGGCGTTCGCGAAAAGGGTAAACATGTCCTGCATTGCGATTTCACCCGGTATAACGTTACAAGTTAATCCATCTAAATAATACAGGCAGCTCCAAATATGGTTGAAGAACCATCACACAGAATGCAGGTTTCAGTTCGCTGGTGCAAGTTAGGTATCATAGATCAAGTGTGTGCAATATACGCAGTGTGTCTAAATACAGATTTAATTAAAATAGAATATATGTGTAAAACATATCAGCAGAAATATGCACTGGCCTTGGAACATGGGACAAAAGCTCCAGACTTGTTGGACAGCCTTTCCCGAGAACTGAGAGATTGCTGACTCCAGGAAAAACATGGGGAATCCAGCAATCAGAAGACAAATGATGAACGGAATCAAGAAAGCTCCTGAAAGAAAGTAGACATAATTCTGATGTGCATTCCTTCATAAACACCTTCTCATGACACAGACGAATTCGTACAATGGACCCTCAGGATTATGATGTATAAGTATTGCCATAGCGACTGGTTCAGGGCCGTCATCGTCAACATACTTCCAAAAAACAAAAACGATGTAGGTAGGACATGTAATTGTAATTATTTATCACTACTGCAGTGTACAGCCAACCCGTACCACTCTGTCATTTTCATTAATTACTGTATATGACATTTATAGCCTTAATTAGTCACCCCCTTTGGCCGTGTCTGCCATCACATCAACTGGTCCAAGGAAGTGCTATTGTTTATCTATCTGTCCATTGTTGAGTCTCCGCCTGTCCATTGTTGTCCAAAACGGTATATATGCTCACATCTGTATTGTCAAAGAGTCCGGTATTCTGACCGTTTGTGTAGGGACGACAGCAAGCAGGATAATGCCTGTCGTAGGAAACGCCCTGAGGTTGAGCAGGAACTCCGCTCACCTCATATATGTCCGAGCCGGCAACCCAGCTCATTCCTGTCTTGCATACTTGTTTGTCATGTCTTGTGTAACAAACTAAAGAAGTTTTAACTCAACTAATCCTTCGTCTTTGTCGACGTATTTTAATCTGAATTCTGAGCTAGTTCTCCTGTCGACACATTGTACGCATTGACATTATTATCATTATTCCTTGTGTCGCTTTTTGTACACTGCATTAACACCTGACATGGGGCATGGTGGGCGAACTGGCCAAGTCGCCAGGCTAGTGATCCAGCGAGCTCGAGGTGTTGGGATCGAGCCCACCTGTGACCGGATGTAAAAACCTTGGTGTCAACTTTGTGTGAAGACTCTTTCAGTGTTGTCACAACCCCTACTGTACAGTACACAACCCTGTGCACTTAAAATAACCCACGAATCCGTTCGTATATGGTGGCAACATGAATACGTGCAAACACCTAGTTGCGGGTACAGTAATGAGCAGTAAACTTGGACAAAGTACTGTGACTATGTGTCCCAGTCCACCCAGCTGTGAATTGGTACCTCGTAAGGATGAGAAAGTCGCAATAACTCCGTGCGCCTAGTGACTGCAAGAGACGTATGATCCCCTGGGAGTTGAGATTGATAATACGATGTGCCGTTGAGATTGACATCCTATGAAAAAAAATACCAGCGCCTTGAGCATGTACTACTTGCGTGGATAGGTGCGCTATATAAATAACCTATAATAAAAATAAAAGAGGATACAATTTCTAATGTAGAGGGATATCATGCTTACCTCCACCGTTCCTGTTGCAGATATAGGGGAACCTGAGCAGATTGCTTAACCCGACACTGTAGCCCACCATTGTCAGCATGTAATCCAGGTGTCGGTGCCACGATTCTCTTTGTGGTCCTGGATTACTTCTACCTAATCCTTGGGGATGCCCCGTTGTCTTTGCAACCATTGGGTCTGTAATATCTTCTGCGGTGTTAGACATGATCCGTGTTGTCGTCGGAATCTAATAAAAACAATACTAGCATAATGTAGCTGATTGTGTTTCTTCTGAATAAAACGCATTCGTGTGACTAAGGGTGGTGTGCCTCTTTTTCCTTTACAGTACAATCACCAATGATTGTATATACGTAGCGCCGTAAGCAGGCAATGTGCCTGGATATGAGTGCCATATAAGCGGACTATTACTATTATTACTATTATTAATGGCAACAAAATTAATAGTCTTAATAAACAATGTTTGGGATTATGCATATTTTTTAGATATTCTCATGAAACAAGGGGATGAGTCTTCACTAAATCGTTTATCCCCCAGAGTAGTCATGACACCAAATATTCGTTTCACTATTACGTGTCGACATCCGAATTGAAACAATAACTTAACCCGAAACCCTTAGGCAACCAGTCCCCTGTGAAACCAACAAACAACGACGAAATATTTACATAAGTAACAATTGCATTCTAACATTAACACTGTTTTACTGCAATACGATAAATATTTCAGTACAAAATAGAACTGTGGGACAAAATTCAAAGGTAAAAAAAATGCAGTGGCAACAGCAAAAATGTTAATGATAATGATATTCACGTGACTGCAACTTTAGTACCGAACGCCTGAATTTCCAGAGTGAAAATGTGATCATCACACAGGCGCTGGTCTTATTGTAATGTGCCTGACGCATGTGATCACCCAGGTATATAAACGATTTAAAAGTTATCTAAATTTGGAATAAATTAGAGTTTACTCTTCCCTCCAAGCGCATCAAAATGTAGATATAGTAATTTCCGCATCACTGACAACTAATTACTGTGAGCAGACCCAGTATAACTAAATAAATGCACTCACCTGTAAGAGGTAGGTTGGTGATGTGAAGGCGGCAGACACAACGCGATTGGTACATGTATCTGCAACAGATTAAAACTGCAGTTGTACAATAGGTAATGAAGTCATATATATGTAATGACAAAAATGTATAGTATATATAAACACGTTGATGCATGAATACTGTTTTGTAAATTCATATATTCATTAGTAATGCATGTGGTACTTTTGAAGGAAAACAGTAAACGTTCGAAAGAACTAGTCAGCCTACAATATTCAGTCCGCGTGCAAACGTGAATCATCTGTCGTTGGTATCTGTTGCAGTCAGTTGCGTGTGACCCGCCACAGAGTGTCATTGTTAAGTGGAAATATGAATGAATATGCGCATCACGTTCGTACAAACAAGCTTCCACAATTGTGAATATTTGTCTATATAATACTCACACTGGGCGGGTTACCCTTGATTTGGGGCACATGGACAATATTCGCTGACTTCAACATTCAAACAAATAAATACTGTTTCCTCAATTTACATAGACAAGAACAAGATCTCCGTACGCATTAGAATAGGAGTTCCAGTAAAATTATATCTTGATTTATTTCATGCAGAATTCGATAGAGTGAGTGAGTGGTTGCCTCATACCCATCGTTTTGTGTAATATAATTTTCAAACTGACCAAGTATAATGGCCACAATGCCCGAACTTGACTCACGTAAACCGTGTGCATCCCAGCACTGGAATAGTGTTGACAAATTCATCGATTCACGAATTTAGGTCTTGGTCAAAGGGCGGCATTATGAGCAGGAATTTGCGACACCTTACACCACAAAGCTTCCTTCAGACAATCACAATAATAGTGTTATCCCTCTCCTCTCTCCATAGTGACACCCCTCCCTCGGTAGAGACACCCCCTTCTCTCTCCATAGTGATATCCCTCTCCTCTCTCCATAGTGACATCCCTCTCCTCTCTCCATAGTGACACCCCTCTCTCCGTAGAGACACCCCCTCCTCTCCCCATAGTGACATCCACTCCTCCCTCCATAGTGATATCCACATCCTCTCTCAACAGAAAAAACCCTTCCTCACTCCACAGTGATCAGATTCTGGTGACCTTTAGCCCGTTCTTATATTGTAGTGTTTTCTCTCGTGATATATTAGCGTACTAGATTGAAATTAGGAGCTGTGATATTCTAGTAGTTTTACTGTCCATTGATGACAGGGCTTCTCTCCATAATGACATCCCATCCTCTATCCATAGTGACACCCCCCTCCTCTCTCCATAGTGAAACCCCCCTCTCTCCATAGTGACACCCTCTCCTCTCTCCATAGTGACATCCCCCTTCTCTTTCCATAGTGACATCCCCATCCTCTCTCCATAGTGACACCCCCATCCTCACTCCATAGTGACATCCCCCTCCTCTCTCCATAGTGACATCCCCTCCTCTCTCCATAGTGACATCCCCCTCCTCTCTCCATAGTGACATCCCCTCCTCCCTCCATAGTAACATCCCCTCCCATAACTCCATAGTGATACCCCCATCCTCTCTCTCCATAGTGACATCCCCTCAAATCTCCATAGTGACATCCCCTCCATAGTGACATCCCTCTCTCTCTCCATAGTGACATCCCCTCCTCTTCTCTCCATAGTGACATCCCCTCCTCTCCACCATAGTGACATCCCTCTCCTCCCCCATAGTGACATCCCCCTCCTCTCTCCATGGTGACATCCCCCTCCTCTCTCCATAGTGACACCCCCTCTCTCTCCCATAGTGACATCCCCTCCATGGTGACACTCCTCCTCTCTCCATAGTGACACCCCTGCTCCTCTCTCCATAGTGACATCCCCTCCTCTCTCCATAGTGACATCCACCTCCTCTCTCCATAGTGACACCCCCTCCTCTCTACATAGTGACATCCCCCTCCTCTCTCCATAGTGACACCCCTCCTCTTTCCATAGTGACATTCCCCCCTCTCTCTATAGTGACATCCCTCCTCATTTCTCCATAGTGGCATCCCCTCCTCACTCCATAGTGACATCCTCCTCCTCTCTCCATAGTGACATCACCCTTCTCACTCCATAGTGATACCCCTCTCCTCTCTCCATAGTGAATTCCACCTCAACTTTCCATAATGACATCCCCCTCCTCTCTCCATAGTGACATCCCCTCTTCGGTCCATAGTGATATCCCCTTCCTCTGTCCATAGTGACATCACACTCCTCTCTCCATAGTGTCATCCCTCCTCTCCCCATAGTGACATCCACTCCTCCCTCCATAGTGATATCCACATCCTCTCTCAATAGAAAAAACCCTTCCTCACTCCATAGTGATCAGATTCTGGTGATCTATAGCCCGTTCTTATATTGTACTGTTGTCTCTTGTGATATATTTTTAAGATAGCGGACAAGATTGAAATTAGGAGCTGTGATATTCTAGTAACTTTACTGTCCTTTGATGACAGGGTTTCTCTCCATAGTGACACCCCCCCCCTCTCTCCATAGAGCCCCCCTCTCCCATAGTGACACACCCCTCCTCTCTCCATAGTGACATCCACCTCCTCTCCATAGTGACATCCCCCCTCCTCTCCATAGTCTACATCACTCATAGTGACATCCCTCCCATCCATCCTCCTCTCTCCATAGTGACACCCCTCCCTCTCTCCATATGTGACACCCCTCCTCCTCTCTCCATAGTGACATCCCCTCAACTTCTCCATAATGACATCCCCCTCTCTCTCCATAGTGACATCCCTTCCTCTCTCCATAGTGACATCCCGTCCTCCTCCATGACTTTCCATAGTGACATCCCCCCTCCTCTCCATAGTGACACCCCCCTCCCTCAATCTCCATAGTGACATCCCCCTCCTTTCTCCATAGTGACATCCCTCCTCTCTCCATGGTGACATCCCCTCCTCCTCCATAGTGACATCCCGTCCTCCTCTCTCCATAGTGACATCCCCCTCCTCTCTCCATAGTGACATCCTCTCTCTCTCTCCATAGTGACACCCCTCTCCTCTCTCCATAGTGACACCCCTCCCTCTCTCCATAGTGACATTCCACTCTCCTCTCTCCATAGTGACATCCCCTCCTCTCTCCATAGTGACACCCTCTCTCTCTCATCCATGGTGACATCCCCACTCCTCTCTCCATAGTGACATCCCCCTCCTCTCTCCATAGTGACATCCCTCCTCCCTCTCCATAGTGACACCCCTCCTCTCTCCATAGTGACATCCCTCCTCTCCCATAGTGACATCCCATCTCCTCTCTCCATAGTGACACCCCATCTCGTCTCTCCATATTGACATCCCCTCCTCCTCTCCCATAGTGACATCCCTCCTCTCCATAGTGACATCCCTCTTCTCTCTCCATAGTGACATCCCTCTTTCTCCATAGTGACATCCCTCCTATCTCCATAGTGACATCCCTCCTCTCTCTCCATAGTGACATCCCTCTCTCTCCATAGTGACATCCACTCCTAGCTCCATAGTGACATCCCCTCCCTCCTGACTCACCATAGTGACATTCCACCTCTTTCTCTTCCATAGTGACATCCCTCTTCCTCTCCATAGTGACCTCCCCCTCCTCTCTCCATAGTGACATCCCTCTCCTCTCCCCATAGTGACATCCACTCCTCCCTCCATAGTGATATCCACATCCTCTATCAATAGAAAAACCCCTTTCTCACTCCATAGTGATCAGATTCTGGTGATCTATAGCAGTTCTTATTTTGTACTGTTGTCTCTCGTGATATATTTTTAAGATAGCGTACTAGATTGAAATCAGGAACTGTGATATTCAAGCAGTTTTACTGTTCTTTGATGACAGGGTTTCTCTCCATAATGACATCCCCTCCTCTCTCCATAGTGACCACCCCCTCCCTCTCTCCATAGTGAAACCCCCCTCTCTCCATAGTGACACACCCTCCTCCCTCCATAGTGACACCCTCTCCTCTCTCCATAGTACCATCCCTCCTCTCTCCATAGTGACACCCCCCCAACCTCTCTCTCATAGTGACACCCCCATCCTCACTCTGTAGTGACATCCTCCTCTCCATAGTGACATCCCCTCTCATCTCTCCATAGTGACATCCCTCCTCTCTCCATAATGACATCCCACTCCTCTCTCCATAGTGACACCCCTCTCCTCTCTCCATAGTGACACCCCTCCTCTCCATATAGTGACACCCCCTCCTCTCCCATAATGACATCCTCTCCTCTCTCCATAGTGACTCTTATCACCCCTGTGACTTCATCTTTCATTAATGATCCCTCTCCATCCTATCTTCTATCCATATCCTCGGTCCGGAAACTCTTCTCCGTGACCCACACCCTCTCCATCCATCCATCCTCACGAAAACAAACCTTCCTCACCCACAGCGACCGATCCCGTTCTTATCTTGTACCCGTTAACTTTGCTGTAATTCGACCGAAACCCGAGCCGCATATCTTCTGCAGTTTTACCTCGTATTTTACGGCTCTCCATAACGACATCCCATCCTCACCCATAGTGACATCCCTCTCCAGTGACTTCCGTCTCCATCCATAGCGGAAACCCTCCATAGTGACACTCTCCTCCATACCGACATCCTCCTCTCCATAGCACCATCCCCTCTTCCATAGTGACAACCCTAACCTCTCCAGTGACAGCCCCCATCCTCACCCATCCCCTCCACATCCCTCCTCCTCCCCCACCACCCCTCCTTAACCTTCCGTACGATCCTCTCCATGCGACACCCATCTCCACACCGTCCCATCCTCCATCCCTCCATCTCCATCCCTCTCCTCTCCATCCTCCTCTCCATCCCTCTCCATCCTCC